ATCATTAGACTCTTGTGGAGAGAAGTTCACGTCTGAAATAGAGTAGTTATTTTAGTAGTGAAGTTTACAATATATTGATTTAGCCAGGGCAAAAAGCGAAGCTCTCGATAATATTTATAGTTTGTTCAAACAAAATAGAAAATCGTATAATGCTAAGCGGCGAAGGCAACGCCGGAGAACGGAGAAAAACAACAATAGGTCTAATTAGCCAAAAAGCAACTTTGCACGTGCAGCACACTATTTTTATACATTTTTTTGTCGTTGTTTTGCACGACTACGACATGAAACTTCCAGAAAATTCTTAGTTACACGTTTTATGAAGGAAATGTCGTACGTGTTCTCGTTCACTTTTTTTTCACTGCCGCTCATTTTCACCTTGTATTGGTGGCCGCTAGCATCTCTCGTTTTGTCATCGCCGCTACAAAATTTCATGTTGTTCTTCCAGTAAAAAAAATGTCTCCTTTGTTTTGTATCTCTCGCTCTAGATCTCTGTCGCCCTTTTTCTCGATGAGCTTCGCTGGCCTGCCACCTACTTTCTCTTTTTCTCTGTCTTTCTCCTGCTCTATATTCCAAATTTGTGGACATGACAATTAGTGTAAACTAATACTTTAGACAACACGGATACAGAAACAATTTCCCCTTTCCGTTTTCGTTTTCATTGACTCTTTAGTTGTCTCTGCTTTACAAGACGCCGGTGGCCATGCGATTTCCCGCCAAAATAACCTCGAGTTGCGTTTGGGTTGTCATACCTGTTGATTGAGTTATTTTACATTGGTTTGCCTGTGGTGTGGACGGACGGTCTCTCGGTCGGTGTACGGTCACGTGATTGCCAAATTTTCTCGGATGGGTAGATTACTTCATTTTCTTACCCACGAAGCGCGCCAGAGCACCGCTTTTATTTGGTCTGAAATAGTGAAGGAAATCTGAAAGCATTCCGCCCGTCCCCACCCGTATTTATCAGGAGTACCCCGCAATTTATCAGGTCATGACGCAGTGTTTTCATCGGATGTCCAAAAGTGAGCAGTAATTCTTGAAGAAATGGCAAGTTAAAGGGTGGTTTTCACTAGCGACGGAGTCGGAGTCGGCATCGGAATCGTAAGCGGAGTCGTAAGAGCGTTTATGACTTAGTGAAAATCAAAAATCGGAGTCGTAAGCGGAGTCATAAGCTCGACGGAATCGGAGTCGGAAGAATCAGAACGTTTCCATTTTCTTCTGACTCTGCTTATGATCTAGTGAAAACCAAATTGTCGGAGTCAGAAGCAGAAGCGGAAAGATAGACCAATCACAATGCACGTTTCTCCGGCCTGCTATCTACGCGCCTTTTCCTGGCCTTTTCTCCAAATATATCATTTATTGCATTTTTGAATCGCGTTGCTTCGCTGGAAACCAACCAACATTCGGCCGGTGAAAAAAATGTTTTTTTTTTTTATAAGCAAGCACAGTTAAGGTTCGTTTAAACGGGCAACAAAAAACATGCAACTTGTCTTGCAACATTGCTGCAAGACGAGTTGAATAGCAATGTTGCGCGTTTTAACACCCACATAAAACCTGTCTTGCAACAGATGAGGTTGTTAAGCGGCTTAAACGAGGGTGGTAAAACCCGAAACATCGCTCTTCAACTCGTTTTCCAGCAATGATGCAAAACAAGTTTTACAGTTTTGTTGCCTGTTTTACGGTAGCTCGTTTAAACTAGAAATAGGGAGCTTTAGCATCGACAACGGCAACGGCAGCAAAAACGTCAGTTTTAAAGTAAATTCCCGTTTTTTCAATCTTTGTCGAATTTATTCCAATTTGCTGAAAATGGCAAGTGTAGGCGAATTTCCCTGGAGTTGATTTCTTGAGGACCGTACTCAAGTTTAGAGAGAGAAAAAGAGATTCATCGTCGCTTGTTTACGTCCTCCATAAAACTTGCAATCAGGCATTTTCACGTCGTAGTCGTGCAAGGACGGTAAAGAAATGTACAAAAAAGCGTGATGCACGTGCAAAGTTGTTGTTTTGCGTAATAAACCCATTGCTTTTTTGACGTCCTGGTTGCCGTCGCCGTTGTCGTTGCTAAAGCTCCCTATACGTGAATCGCAGGACCTCGCGAAGGACTTCGGGTTGAAAGGGAAATAAGGCAGTAGGGAAGAAAATTTATAAATTTAAAAAAACTCAAGCTTTATAAAGAAACAACACAAAACTGCAATAACTAAAAAGAAGACTGAACGTAAAGGAAATTATGAAAGAAGAAAAGAAGAGAAGAGAAGAGAAGAAGAAAAACAGGTTCTGCCCGGAATGGAATTCGGGACCTTCATGATCAGCTCCTCAGGCCGTTGCATTACCATTACGTCACTTGAAGCACATAGTGGGGAGCTCGATAATATTTTAATATATAGATTTAGCCAAGGCTAATCGAGTTGATAGCCTTATATGTACACCCACATAAAGCAATCATCTTCGATCACATTTCCTTTTTGTTAGTTCAATAACCACACCAGTAGTTCAATGACCACACATTAGTTCATTGAGCGTAAACTACATGCAGCTGCGGGAAGAATAGCCACAAATACGTTAGTTATTTTTTGATAAGAATGCATAGCATTAAGTAAGTGGTAAATACTCATTTAGCTATGGTACGAGAACTAAATAGATAAATAGCTATGTTACACTGTTATTAAGTTTTAGTGAGCTTACTAAGATAGACGGGAACATAGACTGATGTTATTATAAAAATTTAGTCCGCTCAGAGGGTCTGTCATTCTCACCAGGTGCACAGTGAACAGACCTGGAAAGAGAGTCAGCGCCGAAAGGGGAAAGCCAACTCGGTCCGGAGAAAACTTCAACTAAATAACCCGACAAAACGCGTGTTGATAAAGCAGAAAAAAATAACAGTTAACCGTGGATGAAATCTTGTTTTTTGACGCTCTTTCCGCACGTTTCAAACCGTGGTACCACAGCTGGCCCTACGTGCCTGAGTCGACTATCATCAATCCATGTTTAAAAATGGTTTTTTTTTTACCTTACAAGTCCTGAACTTCCAACTTTCTTGGTTGTTTCAAACTTGAAAGGCCGTTGCTCGTTTCCTGACCATATTTCAAAAGACTGCTTTTGATACGGTAATGTCTGTTCAAATATAAGAGATCATAACAATTGCAGGCGATGCCTCAGAAAGGTACCAACAGTTTTCTTTCCAAAACGAATTAGAAATAAAGTTTCAAATGTGTCTGACTCACCGCAGTTTGAATAAATAAATAAATAAATAGATGTGATGAAGGTGATATACACACAAACAAACAATTATTTAAATAAAAATGATAATGAGTTCTGAGGGGGTTTTACAACCATGATACCCCGCCCATAAACATCCCTATCTGATTTTACAAGCAACCAAAAGGATGCCTGTCGCACGAGTGCATGAACCTTCTACAGTAAACTAAGCTGACAGATCTGGCGCACAGCGGGCAGTTTAAGGGAAAGACATGGTTGCCATATACCAGAATAGCCCAGTATATGGATTCAATAGCTCAGTTTTCCTTTTTGTTAGTTCAATAACCACACAGCAGTTCAATAACCACACCAGTAGTTCAATGACCACACATTAGTTCATTGAGCGTAAACTACATGCAGCTGCAGCTGCGGGAAGAATAGCCACAAATTCGTTAGTTATTTTTTAATAAGAATGCATAGCATTAATTAAGTGGTAAATACTCATTTAGCTATGGTACGAGAACTAAAGAGATAAATAGCTATGTTACACTGTTATTAAGTTTTAGTGAGCTCACTAATATAGACGGGAACATAGACTGATGTTATTATAAAAATTTAGTCCGCTCAGAAGGTCTGTCATTCTCATTCGCGCCCATTTAGTGTTTTGATAACCTTGACCGGCAGTCGAGCTGAAAAAAGTTTTAAGTGTCACAAAACACGGTTTCGTCTTCTGAGCCCAGCATCACTAGACTTGAGATCTATAAAGCATTTCAGGATCGCTTGACTTGAGATGGTTTAGATTAGCTAGAATCTTTCGATTTTGTGAAATTTACTGATAATATAGGACTGCCGGCCATTTAGTGTTTAGAAAACCTTGACCGGTTACCGGCCATATAGCCACATTATTAATAAACAATCCAACCCATTCTGAAAACGAAACAGGCCCTTCTACAAGTCCTGGAGCCAAATTCTTGAACAAAAGCCCCGATAATTAGCTGGCCCGGAAAACTGTTGTGATGTGATATTAGTTAACAAAATAAAATATCTACTGTTTTGAAGCTAAGATACGCGCCAGTTTATTCTGTAGACTTGATTTCAATATTCGGCTTCGGGACCGGAAAGTTACAGGGTCTTTCAAGAAGGGGGTACCAGATGAGTCTTGTGTTTTACAAGTAGATAAAGGCGTGCGTATTCCTCCCCTTTTTCTTCTTCGCTTATCGCTTTTTATGATCTGTGGCTCTTTTTTATTTTATGCATAGTAACAAGAACAATAATTTCCTTAAGCCCCGAAGATCATGAAATTATACTGACACATCCCGCCGTTTTTCCTTCTGCGGGGGCAGGGTGCGGTTACTCGTAGGCTAGATCCGTTTAAAACCATACCCAAACGAACGAAGTTCTGTCAAACAAGCCTGACGAGCGAAAAATGACAAAACTCATGCAACTTTATTATTTCTCCAAAAAACCCCTGAAAATAAGTTTTTCATTTCCCATCTGTAAGTCATTTCATGATTCTCAGGGCATTCGGGAAAACTGTCTACAACGAAAAAAAAAATTTAGGGAAGAGAAACGAATAAAGCATATAGGAAAAAAAGAGAAATACCATGCAACATGAAATAATAGAAGAAAGTCTAGAGGAAACAACTGTGACATAAACCACGTCGATTCACTTTAATTTATTGGAAATAATTCATTTTGAATACAATAAAGCTCTCAACTTTTCCTGTAGCGATGACATTTTCAGATTAGGAGCTTGGTCTTCGTTGTCTTTCCTTCCTTCCCCTCCCCCTCCCCCCTCTTTCATTGTTTGGCTCTCATTTCATTTCCCCGGCGGCCAAAACCGGTCTTTCTTTGCTCCGAAACCAAATGGAAACGCTTGCTACGCAGGCTAGCTGTCCGTACACATCTGCGCACGTTTTGCCCCCATTGTCACTCTCGCTATCAGGGGCGCGCAAATCTTCACCATACCACAGACGCAGCTCACGGTTAGCAAAGACACATTGAGGTTTCTTTTTAGGACAGAACACAAGGACCGAGGAGGAAGAACTGTAATCGGCTCCTGATCCGGCCAGATGGTCCCATCCACCCTTGCTGACAGGTGGTGTTGCGTCTAGAGCCAGTATATTGTTGTTCTGATCGGTCAACAGGACACTACAAAAGGTTTACATCAGGAACACATCCCCAGTAGCTGTAGTCTTTTTTGTCATACGTCACAGTTCCTGAGCGGTGCACGAGCATGAACGAACTCACGAAGAGGTTTTTAGGGTAGGAAAAACGGCCAAAGTCGGCCTCCCTTGGCGCCGAAGTAGACAGGTGATTTGTTGAGTTTCACCCAGCGAGGAAGTGCTTCATTGGGGACGGGAAACATCGCCACCATTATGGCAATCATCGACAGGAATTTGGATTCCATCACTTGAATTTGAGCTAAAAAATATAAAAACAAGCATAACAAGGGCATAGTTTTTATTATTATTATTTTTCATCGATTTCCTATCGCTACTTTCTTCGTGGATTTGAATTAGCTGGCCCAGTCTAAACTTACACAGGAAAATGGGAACTCCCTATATTTACTAAATTTATAAATTGTTTTGTTGAAGAGTTACGATTCAAACACTGAGCCAAATGCATAAATCCTATTTTCATTTTGGCCAGTGACTAGAAACGAACATTTAATATTTTTTGAAGGAAATTAAAGTTTTAAGATAGTTTCTTTCTAGCCTGAATAATGGGACCAATTATGATCAACAAATATATCAACGAAAAATGTACGGTAACTGACCCCCGGGAACTGACCATGCATCTCGTATTGAACCTCACAGTATCGTACCCTTCAGACACTACTATAAAAGTGCTCCAAGAATGCTAGTGTTTCAACGCGTTGCCAACGGAAGGCTAGGTGTTTTTTCAGTACTGCCTGATGCTAATGAGAATCTGAGCGGTAATATTTTGGTTTTCATCTGTGTAATCCCGATTGTATCAGTGAGGCACAAAGTTCTCGGATTTTTTCTTGCACTTGCTTGAGACCGGCAGTTTCAATGGCTTCAGCGCCGTCCTCGCTCCCGGGTCCTCACTTTCCACTGTATCGGGCCAGTGCAGTACTCGTTCAACAGGCCAAAATCGTGGTGAGGAGCAGCTACTTTGCAAGCACGACAAAGACGCTTGCGAGAGTTCTTTTTAGAGGCCATAGGTAACAAACGAGTCGACTAGCGCGGACGTGATCTATGCAAAGCGATTGATACAAAATACATGACTGAAACCGAATCTGACAGTAAGTAAACAGGGAAGACGGTAAGGGGAATGTTCCCTTGTACCAGTCCTAGGGCCCATTCTCGGGAGCCCCGACAATACCCATGCGCGGAAAGCTATTATACAGTGTTTACCTTCGAGATCAAGGTTTATGAATAACACTATGACTTAAGAAAGCAAACTGAGGGACTGATTTGATAGCTAGGACCGGCGCTAAAGTTTGATTTTAATATTTTACTACTTCGCACCCGCAACGTTATCGATTATTTCAAGAAAAGGGGGTCTGGTGTTGTATATTCGATCTGGCCTTTTTTTAGAGCTTCTCAATGGGGTGGTAGCTTTGACGGTGGTTAAATTTTACCTGGGTTTTAGAACTTTTGACGGTTGACGGTAATTAAGTGGAAATTTAGTCCAAGAGTTTAAATGAATATTACTCCCAGTTTAAATTAATATAAACTGTTGTGTTTTGGAGATTTCGTTGTGCTTTTCGCTTATGAATCGGTATGAAATTTCGAAATATTTTCAGACTTGTAATGACTAGGGGCGGTCTTTTTGCAAACAGAGAAACTGGTTTCTCCAGTTTAGAGATTCTTCAGCAGCCAGAAGTCCGTGGAGATCAGCTGAAATAGTGAAATTTGCAATACCATGGAACTTTTTGACGGTCAATGTTAATCTGTATTTTTGATGGCTGATGGTAAAAACTGAACCTTTTTCGACAGCTGACAGTGAATGTTAGGCCAATTGACGGCTGACGTTTGACCCCATTGAGACCCTCTTTGTAGGCTACGTATTCTAAATAGCCCAAATTTTCCTCTACGACATAATTAGTTTTCACTCAACAACAACAATTCTTCATTTGTCCTATGTCCTTAATCCTGTCGCCCTTAAAGTCTATTTCTTCGAAAATGCTATTTCGACCTATTTCTAGTGGGATCTTTTTTCGAATGGTTGTTGAATTCGGGACTCTGCCAGGCCTGACGGGAGACGGAACGAGGCATACCCTGCTAGCGTCCGGCCTGGAGAAACCACTGCTCGCAGGGTAAACGAGGCACTGTCCTGATCGCAAAAATTAGTTCCTGCAAAACACAAACAATCGTAACTCTGTAAACTGAAAAATAGTCACGCAAAAATCGACATCTACCAGAATAGTTACCATAAATTTTTTGAGGTTAAAAATGTTTCACGTCCGTCTCTTCGTACTCTTCGTTCACGACCTTACCGTTTTTTCTTGTTGGGAATTAATTTTGAGCATTTTTAATCCCATACTAAATACTAATTGAAACTATTTTCGTTTTTATTGAGTACGTCCAATGGATATAGATACTTTCAAACAAACCTAAGGTGTGCGTGCCCTTTGTAGATCTATGTAAAGCCATTCTAACAGATTCAATTTCTTTGTCATTCAATTACAATAGCATTTTCGAGAGCTCATTCTCGTACGCGCGGACCAGCTCTAGTTATGACCACTTTTTACAATTTCCGAGGTGGTCGCTTACGAGAGCTTCGACTGTTTCTAGCTTACAGCTTTTTTATATATTTAAATTCAACAGTAGGAGAAAGTATTACCTAATAACAAGAGTTCAACGATGATACACAGCGTAGCAACATTGTTGCGACATTATTTCAAATGGTTGCAACACTGTTCCAACATTGCAACGCTGTGTTACGCTAAAAATCGTCGTTGCGAATCGTCCCATGTAACATCACCTCAAGGTGATGTGCACGAGACGATTTGCAACGCAATTTTTAGCGCAACACAGCGTTGCAACATTGTTTCGAATATATATCTAGCTGAATGTTTTAAAACATACCTCAAAACGGGCGAGAATATTCGCACAGGAACCTGGCGATAGCCAGGTTTCTGGTCACTGCGTTGAGAAAAAATATAGGGGGCTTGCTGTCCTGGTTGGTCTTATTGTCAAGCTCAGTCCCTGAGCTAACTCGCCATGGGTTGGAAAGGGGCTTCCACGTCAATCCCTAGGCGGGGAGGGTGCTGCAAAAGCGTGGTACCTTCTGTTAGTCTTGCTCTGGGAGAGTCAGTGCACTGGTCATGTCTGCCTTTAGTTTGTCATGTCAAATTCTTGTAATGTTTGAGGCCCGTTGGCCAATGAAAGCATTCCCCTCAAGCACGTGCTAAGCTGGGGAGGTTGGAGGAAGTCAGGGGGGGTGATTTAACCTTGAATTCTCTGCTTAGAACTTGGTTAAGTCTCAAGCGTCCTCCGTCATTTAGGGCCTTTGAGCAGCTAGAGTGTATGGCCAAGTGCAGAGTGTCTTTTTGATGGACTTGAATGTTTCTTTTGCTAATCAGGAACCAAGAAGAGAGTCACCTTAAGAGAACCATGGGTAAGAGCTGAGTTTCTTGGCGATATTCTCGGCTTGCACTGTCACGCAATGAAAAATAAAAATGCAAACCATTCAATACAGAAGGACTAGAATCTGGGAAATGAAAAAAGATAAATACACAAAAACCCTTGCCAAGAATCAGGTCTGTGGAATATTTGAAATGCGAGATACTGGAAAAAACAGTTTACCTAAATTTATAAAGCTTTGTATAGAAACGCCATGTTGGTGTCCCTTTCAGGAACACCAATATGGCCGCCGGATACCAACAGAAACATCTGTTTTCGAGTTTTCCTACTAATGCGTGAATTCTTCGCTTGAGGAGCTCATAAAGATTACAGTAATATTTATTCTGAGACAAGGAATGTTTAGATTGCAAAATCTCCCAAAATCGGTAATGTTTTTAACCCACATAAGAGCTTTCCCGGCCGCCAGCTAAATGCCGCGTCACGCAAAAGCCTGGAAATTCAAGCGTCCTCTCTCGCAAAACGAAGAACCCTTTCGAACCAAAAATTTGTTTATGTGAAGATGTTTAGGTACTGTAATACCTCGTGAAAGTAGAAACTCAGAAGAATCGATAGTTTCTTAGTTTGATTTTTGGTGACGTCACGTGCAACCCAAGAATTTGCTTTAGTTGAGTCAGTTTAGCTAGATATAGTTACAACACTTTAAGGTGATGTTACACGGGACGATTCGCAACAACGGTTTTTAGTGCAACACACGTTGCAATGTTGGAACAATGTTGTCCCTATTCGAAACAATGTCGCAGCAATGTTGCGCTGCCTTGTGCTAAAAATCGTCGTCCCGGTTGCAAATCGTCGGTGTAATGTTACACTAGACGATTCGCAACGACGATTTTTAGCGCAACACAGCGTTGTATCATTGTTGCGACATTGTGTCGAATGGTTGCAACATTGTTCCGAGAATTGCAACGCTAGTGTTGCGCTTAAAATCCTCGTTGCGAATAGTCCCGTGTAACATCACCTTAAAGCAACAGCGACGGCAACGAGAACAGCAATTTAGGGAGCTTAAACACAGTGAGCGTAGCAATGTTGCAAACATTCGAAACAATGTCGCAACAATGTTGCAATGCTGTGCACGCGCTCGCGTTTCGCTCGCTCTACTATCCCTGAGGAAAAATGGGTACTACTCGTAATGGGGACTACTCGTAGTCTAGGTTTGCATCAAAATTAGTAGCTGTAGCCGCGTTTGTTACACGTCACAGCTCCCGAGCGTTACACGAGCATGAACGAGCTCACGAAGATGTTTCGATGCCATCCGTAGTCCATCCCACATAGTCGCTTTAAAAACCGCAGCAAGATTTTGGATAGCTTTACGATATGAGCGTAAATCGAGGTAAGAAAACATAGGTTTTGCGATCAAGCTGTACGAGGCTCGATCAGCCCTTGTCAGCGGAAGTTCCACGGGAGAGCCTTGACAAGCTTTGACAAAAATAAATGGCATTCTCAGGTAGCGTAGTGGTAAAAAATCGCCACGGCAAACAGCATATGCTAGGCTCAAATCTTTGGAATTGAAGAGCCTAATTTCTTTTCATTGTTATTTTGTCTCAGTACTTCCTTTTTGTTTTTTGTTGTCGTAGTTTTTGTTGTTTTGTCTTTATATTGTATAATTTATATTTGTATATATTTTGTTTCCTTTTGCCGTCTAATCTTTTCCTTTCTTCTTATTTCTTCACTTTATAACGTTTGCCCTATAAAGTACTCGCGAGGTTCACGTATGTCTAGGTTTATACTGCGCACAAGTGAGAACTCATTTCTCTCTTGGCAGGGTATTCATATTGTTAAGGTTTTACTGTCGGAGTTCCAATACTCCACTATCATGCAAGAAACTTATAGTTAGCCGTGAAGACTTAGTCTGCTACACAGCCGTTTTTAGTGTCGTCAGGCAATGCTCCTCCCCAGTGGGGAGGAGCGTTGCGTGACGACACTAAAAACGGCTGTGTAGCAGACTGTGAAGACTGAGTGAAAAAGAAAAAAACGACCCGCTGTGCTTGAGAGATGTTTTGGCGGCAGAAAGTTCAGAGGAAACATTCATTATACCTCGAGATAATTTATTTAGTCATTGACATAATAAATAACTACAAAGCTCTGCGCTTTTTTCACGATAGTCAGTTTTAAATTAGTTCTAGTTGTTTTCGAGGTGTTCATCGCGCAGGGGCACCCAACGGCAATTTTCGGGAAAATATCTGTTCGGAAGACGATTTGAGCTCTAGAATTTTCGGAGCATTTGTTGTAAAATTTCTTGCTTGCCTACCTCTCCTAGGATTTTCGAACATCTACAAAATGGTATAATAACCCATTTTTAACGGATTTCGACCCTAAAAAAGGCCACCTAGAATTTTCGGGAGCCTTTCCTGGCTGAAATTTTCGAGAAGGTAAGTTTTTATCCCTATAATTCACTAGACTTTCAGCTAGGAAATCCGAACAGATGAAAAGTTTTTAGGGGATAAAAATATGCCTATATCTACCGTTTGAATACTAAAATATATTCAACAATGCTATGTTAAGTGGTTTTGAACTATATCCTCGTTAGGTGCCCCTGATCGAGGTCTTAGTTCTTTGTTTACGCCAACAGACCATACACATCTGCGCAAGACTTTCCGCCGTTATCACTTTCGGTGCCGTCCACATAATCTTCGCCATACCAAAGACGCAGCTCGCTGTTAGCAAAGAGAGCGAGAGGCTTGTTTTTGGCACAGAACGCAAGGACTGAGGAGGAAGAAGTGTATCCGGCCAGTTTGTACCATCCACCAATGCTAACGGTTGATGCCTCTGGAGCCAGTATCTTGTTGTTCTGATCAGTCAAGAGTACAATCAGGTGTTCGTTATTTGGTGCACATCCCCAGGAGCTGTATTGACGTTTGTTACACGTCACCTTTCCCGAGCGGTGCACGAGCATGAACGAGCTCACAAAGATGTTTTGTTGGTAGGAAAAACGACCAAACTGGTTTCCCCGCGCACCGAAGCAGACCGGCGACGTGTTCAGTTTCACCCAGCGAGGACAGGTCGTTGATGAAGCTTCGCACTGAGCCAAAAATATCGCCACCATCAAGGTAATCAACAGGAATTTGAATTCCATAATTGTGTTCGCGCTGTAATTAAAGGGAGAGTAAAAAGAGGACTATAGTTTACATACGTTTTTCGATTGACTATTTTTACTCATCATCCGTGTGAATTGTAATACGACCATTCTACAGCTAAAACATCGTGCATGAAAATAATAACTTTCCAAATTGTATCAATTTAATCTTTTTAATTTTAAAAGAGCGAGACTGAACCAAAGAAGAAATGTCATTCTTATTTTGGAGAGTGACTCGAGCAGAGCCATCATTTTTATGAACCAAAAAAGAAACTGACGTGTTCAGTCTTCTGGAACCAACTGTGACTCAAAGGACAAAAAAATTTTCAGAATATTCTATAAACTGAATTAGAGCATAACGAAAGCTCTCGCAATAACGTACCTTTTATGGCAATATACTTCTGTAATGCTGGGATTTCAGCGAAGGACTCAGTCCGTCAGATATTTCCAGTAGCAATCCAAATATAAATAGAGGATATTACACGGTGGCGAGAAAATATGAATTTTATTTTCGAGTAGCAAAACAATATTTTACTCACTCGCTGCGCTCGTTCGTAAAATATTGTTTTTGCCACGAGATGGCGGATGACAATCATACGGCCGGATATCAGTATAATCCCACAGTTTATTGACATTTAAATGTATTGGTTTATCCTTATATTAATCGACTACAGTACGTATTTCAAGGACGTAATCCAATACTAGGGGTTCGTTATAAAGGGAAACATAAGACGTTAATTTCGGGACCCGGCTTAGTGTCCGCTTAAAGGGGCTGTGTCACGGCAATCCAGTTCATTTTGTCTTATTTTGCTAATTACTCGCTCTCAATCGCTATGGAACTGAAAGTAGGCGAAGAAATCACATGTAAATGACAAAATCAGAGATTAGAGACAAACAAATATGTCCCCTGAGCATTATTTTTGAAGCTGCAAACAGCAGAGTTAAACTTTGAAAAACTGTTAGGCTGAACAGTTTTCAAAAACCCTAATTTCAATCCGCTTCAATCTTCTTCAGTTTTTCCCATCCGTGGCAGCTGTTGTATCTTTTGCATTATTTTAACCTTCCTTTAACGTTTTTTTTATTTCTTTTAATTTAACGAGCATTTTGCAATAACCTAAATTGGCTGAATTTCGTGACACAGCTCCTTTAATTAGGGGTCCGCTTATAATCAATAGAGGTTCCACTGTATTTTAGTCTAAGCAAATCACTAAGTAAACACGGTAGAAGTAAAAGTGATTGAAATTTTTTCTTCGCTTTGTAGTCTGGTCACGAAAAATATAAACGCCGATAAAAGTGCCACCAGTTAAATAATTATTAGAAACTGAAAAAGTTTTACAAGGAAATGAAAGGATGTTTTTAAAAACCACCTTGATAAGCTTCTCTTAATTGACTGACTATAAATCAAATACTTGATAGCTCTTCAGTGCGGATGTCTTGACTTACTTTTTTACTGCTTTTTCGTCTCCGCCCAAATCTCAGAAGAAACTACAAAAGCTTGTAGCAAGCAGTCTCTTATTTTTATTTTGAGTCACGTTAGATCGTATAAGCAAGAGCAAAGAACGAGGGCGAGAGCAAGCTCCTTTTTACCATCAATTTGCATATTTTTACTTTTCCGCCGCAGAGGAAAGAAGAACAATCGCTCGCAGTCTACATCTCTTGAAAATAAAAGAGCACAGCAAACTGAAGTATCATACCTTTTCAAGACAACTTGACGGTGATCAGCACGATGGAGGCCCCAACTGAAAGCAGGCACACATAATTGACTTTATTTATACCCAACGCTGCAGATTCAACGGAAGAATATTCCTTTACAATTTTAGTTGACGTTAACGTTAAGGATTGCCTAGTGCTGAAAGGCTTCAGCTCACGGAGAACTCTTACTCCACATTCTCAAAGCAGGAACTGCTTAGAGCAACAAGGAAGTGAATATCCAATGGTAAAAATTGTCATGCAGTTCTTGTTATACGCCCGGGGGGGGGGGGGGGGGGAAGGGTTTTCAAAAAAATTTTCGAGGGGGGCCCCCCCCAAGGGCCCACCCCCTTCCCCTTTAAATACCCTTTCCCTTTTTTAAACAAAAAAAGCCCCCCTTTTTTAACCCTTTTTTTATAAAATGGTTTTTCTTTTCCTAACACACCCCTTACAATTT